AAGGTCAAAATTTACTAGTATTACTATCCTTGTGGGGACATTTGGTCCCCATAACGTGATAAATACCAGGTACACTCACAAACACACACAGACACACACACACACAGACACACACTCTCACACACTCTCTCTCTCTCTCACACACACACACTCTCTCTCCACACACACACACACACACACACACACACTCACAGTTCCTCCTTACAGAAAGCATATCATCAGAAATAACACTTAACTCATTAATATCTCACTGCACCAGACTGATGTCACCTGAAACGTGATTTAGTTTATATGTAAAAATCTGACTCAACTGTGAGGAGTAAGCCAGAATAAATTCAATGTTGCCATGTATGATATAAACTAGGCTATAATTACACAACAAAATAAATGGCTAATTCAACACATTTGTTTGCGTCTAAATGTTTCCAAGCCTAGTTTGAGAATCATCTTTTCATAGATGTCTCCAGCCCAGAGATCAGATATCACGTGCGTGTCTATTTCATCTGTTATCTGAGAGTGGATCTGGCTGAAACCTGCAGCTGTACAGTAGTGACCCGAGCTCTCAGCTCTGCGTTTAACTTCACTCCAGAGCCCAGCTTCTCCAGCCTTCATTCACCAGCACATCATCAGAACCTCTCTCAGAGTGAGGAGAACCAACAGCAGAAATAGACCTGCTCGGAGAGGAATTGCTGGAGAGTTTTCGTACAGTCATGGAGAAGTTCGACCTAATGCAGCTCCCGGGATCTCTAGACTGAAATAAATCATCAGACAGACAGACAGACACTGAGAGACTGTGAGAACACGACTGGACTGCACGAGCTCTGAGCGGAACAGCGCGAGCGTGAATGATCGAGAGGCTCGGAACACTATTCCAGTTCATTTATTACATAAGAAATATTCGCTTGCTTTGAGAGTTTATCCGAGACAATGCACACAAAATAAACGCTATGCATTTTGATTATTGCAAGTTTAACCTATAGCTATTAAAGAGAATATATATATATATATTGGCCGACTGTGCACGTGATAGGCCTCAAACAACATTGTGCACTGATGTAGGCCTACCGTATAAACCAAAGAAATGAATGGCAATCAAATCAAATAAAAATATATAATGCATGCATAATAATAATATTAATACGTTTACACTAAATATAGGAGCATAAGAGTTTCATTAACAAATAAATACATAAATAGGCCTGAATGTGTAATGTTAACACACACGAGATTAAAAACTTCAATTCAGATTAAGCGTCTAAACTGCGCGACAGCACGTTTTTAGTGATCTATTGTTTTTATTTTTATTTATGCAGCTGAGCATTAACATGCCATTTTGTCTCACCAAATTTATAATTGCACTTGTAGATGTACAAATGTAGACACACACACACACACACACACACACACACACAGACAGACACAGAGTGAGAGAGACCAGAACAGAGAAAAATCGCTACACACAATGGATAAAAATTATTATTATTATTATTATTATTGACCCAAGTGTATTAGCCTATTTAAAATTATTACTAGGCATAATTGGCATTACATGCGTGCTTAGACGAAACAATAGTAATAATAATAATAATAATGATAACATTTTTTATAATAGCTTAGTGTAATGTTTTAAATTACTGTAAAGCATAATTTGCATTAGACTACATTACATTTTAAGACAACAACAACAACAATAATAATGATAATAATAATAATAATAGAGTTATAAGGTGAGTTATTTTAATTTAAAAGCAAGGAAATGTTTTCGGGGCGCTCTTAGATATTCCATTTATTGCAGAAACATCCCACAAGTCAAGCTGGAGTGTAACTGGACATGATAATTAGAGTGATGCTGTGACGTGTTAACAGCTGGAGGCGCGAGGCTAAACACATCTGCTTCACATCACACACACTTCACCAGGAGCGCAGGATTCAATCAGGAGAGAAATGAACGTCTCGCAGGTGGACGACTCCGAGCCGCAGGAGCGAAGTGTCTGAAATGCCAATTTTCTTCCATTAAACGTGAAACTTGATCTAGAACAACAACTGGCTCATGTCTCCGCGCGGGAAAATGATTGCCCTGATTACGCGCCATTATGTGTGACAGGCGCGCTCTATTAGCGTGTAGAAAGAAATCGTCCTTGACGTCCAACATTTGGCCCAAAATATACAGGCATTCACGGGATAGTAAAAAATCACTTATGCACTGGGAAATTGCGAGGACGCCTTAAAGTTGCAAATCCTGTCAAAATATGGACTATAGCAGGCTAGATGACAAATGACCCAACACTGAACACACAACAGAGCGACTCATTACACGACGACAGCCAATAACACTGTCAAAACTCCTTGCCCTCTTTAAAATAAAAGCTTCAATTCCAATCAGTTAGGGTTCGACATCATGACGTCACCGAAAAGCGGCTTTTCGTTTTCTAATTCTATGCACCGGTTGTTTGCAAACAAATGAATCGAAATAAAAAGCTTGTAATGAAACATTAATCTCCAAAGACAAGAACTGAACCACTGGAGCTTTGTTGTGTGTGTGTGTGTGTGTGTGTGTGAGTGAGTGAGTGAGTGAGTGTGTGTGTGAGTGTGTGAGTGAGAGTGTGT